TTGCAGCTGGGAGCTATGTATATAAGTTTGTAACTGCGTAATCAGAATTGCTGGAGTGAAAGTTTAGTGTTTTTCTTTGAAAGAGGTTTATCTTTGCTGGCGTTCTTCCCATGGACTCTACTCGGTTATCTTCCTGGAATGTATGATTAATTATCTTGGCTTGCTTCAGAACTCTCATCAATGCGGTTTGTTTTGGTTTCCTTTTTGCCTCATGATTTACTTTTGTGACTTTAAACTGTGCCTAATAAAACAGTGAAGTTAAGTTGAAGGCATTACCGGACTTTAATGTATGTTTTGGGTTATTTTGAGAGACTATGGGTCATCACAAGGGGTAAGGATACTGCAAAATCTCCATTCCCTCCCCACCCCACTAACCTGCTTTCCAGCCCTCTTCTCCTGTGCAGGGCAACAACAGAAGACCCAGCCAATCAGTTGGGACTCGGGAGGCAGAGAATCGATTGGGGGCAGGGCCAGTCAGAGGTGGTATTTGCAGGTTCTCCGAACTACTCAAAATTTCCGCTCCCGGTTCTCCAGAACTGATCAGAACCTGCTGAATACCACCTTTGGACTCTCTGCATCTTTTCTTTAGGGCTTGGTACTACCTACTGATGCTTTAATAAGTGTCAGCAAATACCGTAGTTACCTTTTCAGGCAGAAGATAGCTTACCTGCCTCCCATCCACTGATTCCATAGGACGCTTTCTAGAGCCGCAGCGCAGAGCCTGTCCTTTCGTCGGGGTGGCTGTCACGTTAGCCAGGGCTTCTCTGGCCTTTGCTTGTTGCAAATCGCGGGCTTGCACCGGGCTTACCGTGTCGAATGTGCGCGGCAAGCTAGACAGGAGCCTGGTCCGCTCAGCCACCGGCCGCCTTCCGTGCTGGGTAGCTTCAAATTTGATGCGCAGAGTCTGAACGAAGCGACGCAAGCGATCCGGTGGGCAGTTGGAGAGGAGCAGCTGCACACAATCGGACCCCACGGGCCCCAACCGGATCGAGCTCTTCCCGTCCTTCACAAAACGTGTGAAGAGGCGCATTTCGTTCTGCCGCAAAGGGAAGTTCTGGAGGCGGCCTGGACCCGTCACCTGTAAGACCAGTTCGCGAAACTCATTCCGCCCGAGGGTGACCCAGGCATCCCGCAGGAGCCGCCGATTCGGGGCCGCCGCTGCCCCCAGGTGCTCCACGGCCACCGTGCAACGAATCCTCCCGTCCAGCTCCGAGTCTTCCGCCGGTCGCATTCTGCGGGCTGAAGCCGAGAAGAGAGCAAGCAGACAAACATGACCAGGAGCGGGAGCGAGACCGACTAAAAGCCCGCGTCGGGCGCGGAACCGGCCCTCTTTAGCCCGCTGTCGACCGACCCGGGTTTTGAAAAAGGCATCCTCACGTTCAAGTCGCCTTTCTCCACCTTATTTGGGCTGGCAGGATTCAAATATTTTGCGACCGGCCGCAGCGACCAATCAGCATTTGGGGAAGCTTTAATTTTTCAGCCAATGAAAAGAGGAGAGGCGGAGTTAGAACTTCCCGGCTTCCGACGTTCTCGGTCCACAGCTGGGAGACCAAGAAAGCGACACTCTCCGCCCCTGGATACGCTCCGCCCGGAGACGGCGTCGGTTCTGGAGCGATTGAAACAGCGATCCAAGTAACGCCGCATGGCTGGGTTTAAAGGGGTGGTAAAGGAGCCACTGGACCCAGTAAGTCAGAACAAGATCTTCACGGAGACGGTCCGGAAGGAGCTGCGATGCCAGCGCCTGCACACCGAGTATGCGTTAAACCCGCTCCTGAAAGGTAGGTGGGCTGGAAGAAGGCAGTGTTTGTCCAATACAGGCAAGTGTCTCGACTTACACCAACGGTTCATTGAGTGACCCTTCAAAGTTACAAGGGCACTGGAAAAGTGACTTAGGGCGGTTTTTCACACTTAACGACCGTCGCAGCATCCCCCACGGTCCCATGTTCAAAATTCAGGTGCTTGGCCAGCGGTTCGTGTTTATGACAATTGCGATGTCCTGGGGGCATGTGATCAGCTTTTGCAACCTTCTAACAAAGTCAATAGGGAAGCCAGATGCACTTAACAACCGCGATACGAGCAATACTGGTGGGACCCAGAAGAAGGGCCTTCTCCGTGGTGGCTCCGTCTCTCTGGAACATCATTCCCCCAGAGATTAGAATGGCCCCCTCACTAATATTCTTCCGAAAGGCACTGAAGACCTGGTTTTGCCAGCGGGCCTGGGGAACCAAAGAGAGGGATGGAGCCCATCAGGTGGCTAGTGTGATCTGCTGTCGTCCGGGAGGAGGGTGGAAGTTGGTTATTGATTTTTTTGTGGTTGTTTTGTTTTCCCAAATTTTGTTCTGTTGTACTTTACTAATTTATTTCTCTTTGTTAATTTTTATTGTTTTTATTTTTATTTGTTTTAAATACGGTTTTACATTGTGTAAACTGCCTCGAGTCGCCATGGGCAAATAGGCGGGAATATAAATTAAATAAATAAACTGCAGTGATTAGCTTAACAACTGTGGCAAGAGAAATGTTTCACTTAGCAACCTAAATTTTGGGCTCAGTTGCTGTAGTAACTCGACTACCTGTATTGCTCCCTTTCCTTTCCTTTTTGTAAACCTATCCTTGCCATTGAATGTAATCAATGCCTGATGTAGGCGCTACTCGCAAAGAGAATGGGATGAAACAATGATAAAGACCTGGTTGAAATCATTGATTCTCTATGCATGTTTTTGGTTCTGCAAAAGTCAGCATTTCAGACTAAATGTTACCCAAAATGTCCCCAAAGAAATCAAGGTAAGGAGAAAATATTAACTTGTCTCATTCTCTTACGGTAGTCTAAAGCGAAGTTTAAGAGTGCCTTAATTTGAAGATCAGCAATAGCTAATTTCATAATCTTGCTTTTGCCTTCCAGTTCATGCCTTAACTGGGAAACCTGCCTCTTGGCATGATAACTTAGAGGAACCTGCAGATGGTAAGGCACTGTTAACAATACGTTTTTTTTTCAAACTGCAGTTTATTATGGATGGATGCCACTGATATTTTATTATGGTGGGTTGCATAGTGAGCCAGATGTTTAGACTGGTATTAGTATTACTATCCATTCAGGAAAATCACAGCTGAGGTTTTTAATTGATGTTTGCAATTTTTCCCTAAGCACCTAGAACAGGGGTGTCAAACTCATGGCCCACGGGCCGAATAGAATAGGATTTATTGTCATTGCATTCAAAATACAATGAAATTTGAAAGCTACTCCAGCACAGTGCCCCAAACACCACATCACAATCACACTACACAGTATTTAAAAATTAAAATAATTAAAGTAATAATAATTAAAAACCTGGTCTAAAACCTATTTAAAACATATATTGTTAGTTTAAAAATGCCACTTTATACATAGAACTAAATCACAAATGTACTGTTTGATTCGAGACAATTATTGCCTTGGAAAAGAAACTTTCTCAGTCTTATTAATCCTCATTTTAAGACACCTATAATGTCTCCCTGATGGTAACAATTCGAAATATAATGACCAGGATGAGAATGGTCTGTGGAGATTTTTAGTGCTCTAGAGAGGAGTCTGGGCTTTGCAATCTCTTCCAAAGAAGAAAGAGAGCAACCAAAGATTTTTTGTGCTGTGTTTATAACTCTCTGGTTATATGCGTCACATGCTGGCCCTGCCCCCGCCCAGTTTAGCAAAGGAGAAAAAAATCCCAATACCTCACATGATGCCGCCATGACATGAGCTTGACACCTCTGACCTAGAATGTCATTTTATTATTATGGTTCATAACAGTTGGACAGATGTTCAGATTGGACCTGACATATTTGTCTGCCTATCAAGCCCTTCCCAAGGACCTGGGATAGGCAGCGTGGATGTTTGGTGATGTTACAGACATCGTCATAGGATGTAAGCTGTCCCAAGTAAAGCTACCTTTTCCAATTAACTATGGTGAATTTGTCAATGCCGTTGGTGTTCAAGTGGTGATCCAGTTGCTTTGGGATTGCACCTAAGTTACCTATTACTACTGGTACTACTTTTGCTTTCTTAAAGTTCAAAAAAGCGCTTACATGTCCTGCCTTTAAAATGATGCCATCAAATTTGGCTTCAGCCCTTTTATTCACACAAGCCCATCATACGATTCCCTTTTGGGTTAACTAACACCGTGTAAAATCCTGCAAAGAAATTAGGGCATGAGGGAAGAGAAAAAAAGAGGAAATATACAGTAATTAAATCTAGTTTGCAGGATCCAATCTGGGTTGATCACTGGGACCAGAGGTTTAGTCTTCCAAGCTTTCAGCCTTGTGGCTGGAGCCCATCCTCAGGGAATTTCTCTCTCATTAGAATATGAAACAAAAGATATTCAAACAAACAAAAATCTAAAAGTACTCTAAAACAAAAAGTGTGCACTTTAGATGGGTGTAAAGGTTGCTTCTTGACCAAGATCAAGTGTAGGACTTTTTCCCCACATTTTCAAAAAAAGTATCTTCTGCTATTACATTTTGTATTCACTTCTGTATTTCTATAAATTATGCAAAGTATTATCTAAAACTAACAGCAGGGTGGAAGGTTTCCTGGAATTGCAAGGGAACCAGATGCCAAGCAAAATCTAGGGCAAAACCTAGATCAGAATGAGGAACCATGATACAAAAATATGAGCACGTTACTAGGCAGAAATTATTCATGATCTACAATCTTGCATTAAATAAAGGAAAAGGTTAAATGCATGGTTTCACATTTAAGTATTATGCTTCTGTCAATTCAGCACACACAAACAGAATGTCTGGCAGTTTTGCTTCATTAAACATACAAGATATAAATGCCTGCCAAAGCTGCCTAGCTTTTCCCCCAGAAAGAACAATCAAAGCAATTTAATAAGCTAAAATTTTGTACGTTTGGTGTTCTATTTAATGTCAGTCATCTTGTGACTGCATTTCTTGAATAGCATCATATACTGTATATTCCAAAGTAAAAAATACAACTTAATACTGGATACAGACCTGTAAGTTATGCAAACCAAAATACCATTAAATGTTCAATAGAACTATTTACATAACTCTTAAGTAATCTAGTTCCACACTTTTACTATTTCACACCCGCCCAATTGAAACTACCTAATAATTACTGTCAATGTTTTAACCCAACAGCTAAATTCCTACAGCTTTTTCATCATGCTGCACTTGAGCCACCCAAGAAATACACAGAACCACAAACTGAAAGTCAGGAAATTGGTTGGTTTTCCACACCATTGGTAAGTAGGATTTCAGGGAAAGCTAAATATTGTGGGACGAGTGCCACTCCCAAGTTTTGAAGTACTGTCATGATTAAGATGAGCCTTCCCAGGAAGAAGATACCATTTGGGAACATTAGAATCATGAGGAAAGCCTTCAAAGGGTTCAGGTAGCATCAAATGGGTTGTCAGGTGAGAGGGAGTTATACTGAAGCATCCAACACTTTGTTCCTTCTTTTATTTCAATGCTCTTATGTTATAATCATATTCTCTTTCACAGATCAGTATCAACCGGAACGATAATAGGCTGCACTTCCCAAGTCGGAGCACTGAAATCAGTAGGTACATGGCTGCTCTGTGGCGCCTGAAGGAGATGACCAAAAGCAAATAAGCACATAGTAACATCATGAGCTCTTACTGTGAAGATGTCAAACTTTCATTTAGGATTTTTGCCCTGCAAGGTTATCATCTTGTCAATGTAGTTGGTTATTTAAGAAAAGAAGCTGTCTTGCTCTTTGAAGTTTTAGCAGTTGCAATAAACTTGTCCCAAAATTGTGTGTGTTTCGTAAGATACCTAGGCAATGAATTTCTCATCCATAACTATGCCATCTCTCCCAGTACTTATATGCATGAGTGATTAACACGCAATTCATGATACTCAAAGAGAGGAAGCAATCAACTGCCATTTTGTGAAGGAATCAATGAAGTGGCCAAACACAAGCACTACTGCCATACTTTGCAGGCTATCATTGCTTTTTCATGATAGGCAAAGAACTGAAGGACTCTGGTATCCTCCCCAAATATTCCAGTATGCATCTTTCCAAACCTAAAGAAGGAGGATCAAACCATCATCACTTTAATTCACTTAAGAATTTTCAAAGTAGTCTGAAATGAAAGGCAACAAAAAGCATCTGTTTGCTATTTGTGTGTGAATCAAACAAAAACATTTGCCATTCTACAGCACACCCATAACCAGGAAAGTTCAAGTCCCATATCCGTTCATGGTTATATGCCA